TTGAGCGCTGTGGAGAGGTGACTTTGGCTCCTTGGGAACATGGCTTTGCTAGTTTGGGTGGCAAGCTGGTGGTGAACAAGCGGATTGTGGCACCTCAAGTGGCAGCCCCGACTCCGAATCCTGCACCTAGTCCTGCATTGCTTGGAGCTGGCGACGAATCAGAACGGGTCAGCAGCTCAGGCGAAAGCAGAAGGACCAGCGATGTTGAGGAGCCTGAGATGCCGGCCGAGGCGGGGACCACAGAGATGCCTATGATTCACAGCAGGAGTGAAACCAGCAATTCGTCGATGTCACTGCCGAGTACTGGGTCGTCCAGTGAGCTTGTGCCAGATGAGGCCATGGCTTCAAGGACGAGAACAGCAGAACAGGCAGCTTGTGATGTGGCTACTGGGTTGAGTGAAAATCCTAGAAGCCCCAAGGCACTGAAGGTGAGACATGAAGTCAATCGACTGGAGTTTGCTTGTGTGTGCCAGATCAACGACAACAAGTATGAACATGAAGATGAGGCCATAGAGTGGACCTTGTCTCCCGAAGAGCTCGATGACCTGGAAGAGTATGATCATTTAATCGAGGCAGAGCGACGTGAAGAAATCGACTGGGAGAACGTCGAGGCGCAGCTGGTGTTTCCGCGAGACACTGAACATGCACCGTGGTTGGATGAATCTGCGCTAGCTGCGTTGGACAGATTGGCTGATGAGTACGAACTCAAGCGGTTGACAGATTTGAAGGTGCTACTTCCGCCAGATTCGAAAGAGGGACCACTGGTTGGTCGTGAAAACCCCAAGCAGCTCAGCACCAAGATGGTGCGAACGTGGCGGGAGAAAACAATGCCTGATCCTGTGACCAAGGTCATGCGCCCAGTGTGGCTTCGGCGCAGTAGGTACGTAGCTCGAGAATACAATTGGTTGAATCCTGAGCGAGAAGGTTTGTATGCGCCGGCTAGCAGCGCATTGATGACCAAGGTTTTACCTTCGCTTTACACGTACTTGCAGGCCCGGGATGGAGACTGGGTGCTGGGATCGATGGATGTGTCAGACGCATTCCTCATGGTCGAGCAGGAGGTGGCAACTGAAGTGAGCTATCAGGACCCTGATGGGAGAGCAAGGAAATTTCTTCTGGGAAGACTTCTGCCAGGACAGCGTGATGGGACAGCGAAGTGGCATCGGAAGCTGAGCCAATGCCTAGAAACCGATGTGAATGCTACAGCTTGCGCTGCGTATCCGAGTGCTTTTCGCTGCAACACCCCTCATGGTGCAGTTTTCTTGCAAACACATGTGGATGACATTGAGTTCTTGGGGAAGCGAGCAGCTGTGAAGCAAGATTTTAAGCCCGCCATGGAGAAGCACTTCAAGGTTTCATGTCAGCTTTTGGAGAAGCCCGGAGACGCTATGACATTTTTGAAGAGGTTGCATGTGTTGGGTGAGGGAAACACCTTGACCATTACCCCACATCCTAAACATGTTGAAAGGCTTATGGAGCTTATGGATCTGGAACCTCACATGTGCAACAAGAAGTGCCCTCTGATGCCAGGATATACCGAAATCGATGTGAGTTCAGCTTTGGACGTGCAGAAAGCTTCAGTATTTCGTACATGCATAGGCATTTTGCTTTACATGTCAGCTGACTTAATCGAAGCCCAGAACAGTGTCCGTTTCCTTTCGCAAAGAATGAGCAGTCCGAGCATGCGAGATTTTCGAATGTTGCGACATTTGGTGCAGTATCTTGGAGCGACTACAAACCAGGGATTGCTCATGACGCCTGAGAAAGGTGGTCTGTTAGGCCACGAGTATGATCGCGAGTGGGTTCTGGAAGCCTTCTCTGACAGTGATTGGGCCTCCCAGAAGGGAGATCGGAAAAGTGTGAGCTCTGGGGTTGTGGCTTTGCAAGGAAACGTTATTTATACGTCGTGCAGGTCCCAAAGAACGATTGCACTTTCGAGTGCAGAAGCCGAGCTATATGCGAGTGCAGGCGTTTTAGCAGACTGCATGTTGCTGCAAGTTGTCCTGTGCACCATGTTGGAGATTGAGGTTGAAGCGTTGCCGATTGAGTTGCATATGGATAGCTCTGCAGGTCGACAAGTGTGGATGAGATCTGGTGTTGGTAGAATCCGTCACCTTTCATGTCGTGTATTGTGGGTACAACAACATGTGATGAACGGGCGAGTTAAAGTTTCGCATTTGAGAGGTGAGCTCAATCCTGCTGATGTGTCCACAAAGCTGTTAACAAGAAGTCGTATGCGATTCCTGATGTACCTCATGAAGGTCGTTGATGCGTACACACATGAGAGAATTGGAGAGACAGAGTACAACCTGTATCTAGAAAAGCGAACAATGCAGATTGCAATTCAGCAAGTGAAGCGCCTTGAGCCTGGGAAGATGAATGGCAGAGCAAAGCAGGCCATTCGTGGCTTGGTGATTGCTTCGCTCACTTCGAGTGGGATGGCAAGCGAGTTGAGCGAGGAAATGGTGTGTATCTCGATGACTTCGACAACAGGTATCGGGCGACTTGTCATGACAGTTTTGGTGGTGATGGTTTGCGTGGGCTTAGGTGCGTTGTGGCTGAGATGCGTAAGGGTGAGCGAGCCTGAGCAGACAGATGAGCGACCAGCAGCAAACATGGGAGATGATGCTGAAACCCAGACAGACGAGTGACATTTTCTCTACAAGTACCACACCGAGAACATCATGAGAGAGAGAGCAAGCGAGATTGAGAGACTTCGAGAGCTTTCGAATCAGCTTGGAGCCGAATGTAGAGGGCTACGAGAGTGGAACACTCGGCTTCAGGAGTCAGAGGCACATTTGTTTGCACGAGTGCAAGAACTTCAGCAAGTGCAAAATCCGACACGGGGCGAGATCGTAATGACAGGCCAGGGTCATGTGTATCACACAAGTCGTCACTGTGAGCATGTGAGCCGAAGAAGAGTTACAACGTTCCGGAAGTGCAGAGACTGCGCTCATCGTGATGGCGATTGATTGGCAATGAAGTTGGTGTGAAAGGCTGTGGAGAGCCTACACAAATTCGATACAGACTGTGAACAGTCTGTGGTGAGCCAGCTGTGGTCCGTGCAATGATGATGGTCCATGGTTTGCTTGCGATCTTGAATGGAACATGTGCATCATGAGCTACTGGTGCATATATTGGCCTCTTGCGATGCACAAAGCTTTACGTGCATCAAGGCTGTGAGACAAGGGACAAGATGTGAGTTTCACAATGGGAGCTCTTACGATGCACACGGCCTTACGTGCATCAAGCTCCATTGAGTGGCAGATGTAAATTAGTTTCTTCAGATTGTGCAGTGCATGTTTTGACAAGTTTCTTTTCGTTTACCGCTTTGAAACCTACTGTTCCTTTGAGATAACATTTTCGACTATCAGCCAGCAGTGCTGAAAGTTGGGAGTTTGTAGGTGAGTGAGTTGATGGCAGAGCCATAACTCAAGGCGGGGTGACAAACCTTTCCGCTATCGTAAGCCATGTGTCTTGAACATAGTCAAACACGTTTTGTTAGTGTACAGTTGTTTCAACCGAGTTTCGACTGCAGGCGCTTTGTGGCTTTACAAAAGTTTTCAAAAAGGGTTTAGGGTTTGAGATCTCTAGCTCTTTTCTCTGTTAGGTTAAGAGGATCCTATTATCCTATTCGGGTGCTTAATTGGGGCCAACCTGGGAATCTTGCAGAAGCCTAAACCCTAAACCTTAAACCCTAAACCCTAAACCCGAAGCCTTTAGGCTTCAGGGTTTAGGGTGCCAGAGTTGAAACGTTCACGTTGAGCTTCATGGGGGGTTGGCGGTTGATGCATTTGTGTTCAGAACTAGCTCGAGTGGTCCCTACTCTGCCAGTGACCGATGAGTTTTTCTCGAAGCAAGTCGAGAAAACACGTTTCGGGTTTAGGGTTTAGGGTTTAGGGTTTAGCGTTTGAGAGATCCCTGGCGCAAAAAGGTTTTAAGGTTTCTTCTCACGCTCACGCCTCAACGAACAGGCCAGGGTTCCGGCCTGGAGAGGGTGGGAACCCTAAACCCTAAACCCCTGCAGTTCGGGGTCAGGTCCCGGCAAAAGGCCATGCGCAATGCGAGGATCGGGAGGATGGAGGAGGACCAGGAAGAGGTCCAGCGACATATCTGGAAATTCGTGATCGTTGCTGGACGTCGAGGTTGCTACTATTGGTGACCGTTGGTGGTGACCTACCCAGCATTGCCTGGGGCCGTGCTCTTGGCTTTGTGCGGACCGACTGAGAAGCACCTCCGGCCAGTTGCACGAATTCTGCGGCTATCTCTTCGTTCCCAAAGCCTGCCAGTTAGAAGCTTCTGAAGGACGATGTGCTCTCAATTCTAGCTAGTAGCGAACTGTAGATGCATGTGGGTTGTGACAGGCCACGTGTCGCTGTCTCCAGCCACTTGGCCTGATCCTTGTAACGGAGGCTTAGGGAGGTCGAGTTAATAGACTGCTCTTGCACTACCAGTACAGAGGGGAAAGTGGCCTAGCTAGAATGCAAGCAGAGATTCAGAAACGATGCCTAGATGCTTCGAGCGCGCGAGAATGAATCGCGCTTGTTCTCGACTAGTTGAAACTACAACCCAAAAGTTGAAAATACGCATGGGGGTTGTGCGAATGAAGGGCCGCGGCTACGACGAAGATACTTCTTCTCACTATAGGGAGCAAAAAAAGGCGTCTGCGCCAAAAATGTCACCAACCTTTCTGCATTAATGACCCTTTGAACGGATCCCTACGGCACAGAATTCCTTTGTTCCCTACTTTCCTGCCATAAGAGCCAGCAACAAAAGGAGTCTCAACCACTTACCCCCTGATAATCCTCATACAAAACTGTTTGGAGGTTCATGCTACTTACGAACCAGTTATAGCTGTACTTATAAGCCCCTTAAGTGCCCTAATAGGATCATAAGTACATTCATAAGTACAGTTATAATTGGTTAATAAGTACCATGAACCTCCAAGTAAGTTTATATCAAGTCCAAGTCCAACCGAGGTTTTCCGTCCTGGCCTCGACATGAAGCTAGCCCTAAACCCGAAACCCTAAACCCTAAACCCTAAACCCTAAAACCCAAACCCTAAGTCGGGCAAAATGGGCCAAGGATCGATCCAGCAAGGCCGGAGGAGATGGACAAGCTGCAAAGAGCCCGCTCAGCCAGCGCCCGAGACGGCTGCGTTGATAATATTATATATATATATATATATGCTATCGTTCCTCTCTATGTCTATGTAAATATATATATATATACACATGTATACGTATATCTGTAAACCGTGTAATTCTAGAATTCCTGAACTCAGTTTTGGGAGGGCTTCATGGTCTGGGAGTTGGTTGGGCTGCGTGTCTCTGCTTTCAAGGGATGCACCGCCAGGGAACTAGAACCCAGAGTCGGCCCTTATTCCTTTTTCAGGGTTTAGGGTTTAGGGTTTAGGGTTTAGGGTTTAGGGGGTGTGCCCTCTTTATTCCTAGGCTACTCTTGGATCGAGGGAAACCAGAAGAACTTCCTAATCTCGGGTCCCTCATAGCTTATGGCTTTTGGACCCTGCTCCCCTGAACCTTGGGCTGTTCCCCCCTATACTAACAGCCTTATGAAAAAAAGGGGTATTCTAATCCCCATGAAGGACTGTCAGTATCAGGGAATCATCCCAAGTTGAACCTGTAGACCCCAAAAGCCTTGCCTGCAAACCTCCAAGCCCTGAAATCCTGTGTGGCTGGCCTGCTCGGCGGGCGGCAAACAAGACAACTTCGTAGCTGAGTAGGTAACCGTTAACTTTTGTGGGGTATCTATAGTCCTACCATAATCGAAAAAAGTCCCTAAACACTAAACCCTCAACCCTTAAACCAACCAAAAAAATAACCTTTTTGGCCCAGGACACCCAGCAACAAGGAACACTACTAATCGTTTTCGCTCCCCCCACAAAAACTCTTCTTTATTAAGGGTAATCTAGTTTTGTTTTGTTTACTGTTTTGGGGTTCTTAAGCAAATAGTAGAAAAGAGTTTGTTTCACGCAGCACAGGCCAGCTCTTCGACCAGAAGCCGCGCCTGGCCACAGAGAAACGAGTTGCGTTTGGGGTTTAGGGTTTAGGGTTTAGGGTTTGAGGTGCAAAAGAGTTCGCCCCCCCAAGCCCAGTTGCAAAAAGGATGCCAAAAGGGTTTAGGGCTTAGGGAGTTTCGGAATGGCAGCAGTGGGATGTCCAGTGGCACCCCTTATTCTATTCCCCTTTTGGGTATCTCCCTCAAAACTCAGCGCTGTGAACCCCCCAAAAGTGCACGCCCTAAACCCTAAACCCTAAGCTCTAAACCCTAAACCCTGAACTTCTCTTTGGGTATGTTTCACTAGCCAATGAGCCTTTCACCAGTTAGCAAACAGTGAGTGTTGAGTAGTATCACCAGCATGACTGTGGCCACATGTGCTGCAGAGCCGATGTTGAGACTGTTGAACCTGTGTGCCTCGCCTGGCTTGTCCGAGTGTGAGCGATTAAACCCTGAACTTCTTCATGCTTAGCTTACCATGACACCAAGAGCAAAGCAGACACGTGGAAACGTTACCACGGGTTTGCTCCGTGGTGAGTTGGACCCCGAAACATGCTAGGCCACCACCCAACACCCCAAAACCTAACCCTGCCAGGCAGGGGGCACAAAACCCCCTAGACGCTCATAGTCTAAAAACCCTAAACCCTGTGCAGTGCGGGTGGCGAAACCCTAAAACCCTAAACCCTACACCCCAAACCCCAAACCCCAAACCCCAAACCCCAAACCCCAAACCCCAAACCCCAAACCCCAAACCCCAAACCCCAAACCCCAAACCCCAAACCCTAAACTAAACCCCCCCCTAAAGGGCCCCAGAGGTGCGGCTTTCAACCGAGCACACCGAAGAGTTTGGCCACCAGACGCTTGGCCTGGCCTTGGATTGTTCCGGGGTTTAGGGTTTAGGGTTTAGGATTTAGGGTTTAGGTCCTTGGGATCTTTCAGGCATGCTCCCTTTGTTCGGCTTCAAGACATCATACCCTAAACAAACGCCCAAGCGGATCATATTTAGGAATCCTTTTCAGGGGGCGTTAAGGGCCATCCTCGTGGCCTAAAGGGGTCTCCAATTGATTCCAGTGATGCGAGCCCTCGTGCTGCAAGATCTTCTAAACCTCTTAAACCCTAAACCCGAAACCCTAAACCCTAGCCCTAAACCCTAAACCCTAAACCGCAGGTCAGACAGTAGCTGGCTTGAGGGAGGACTCCAGGCTCCAGGAGATGTCGATGTACGTCACGGCCAGAGGCTCGCCAACACAGCTTCAATGCCAGGCTTAGGGTTTAGGGGTTTAGGGTTGAGGGTTCAGGGGTTTAGGGTTTAGGGTTCAAGGTTTCGGGCCACACGCAATGCGTAGGTGAAGACTATGACGCAATGCACAGCAGAGCGCTTAGAGTAGAGGCTTCTCATTTTTGTCGCATATTACTTTAAGGGCTCCTTTCTCCTGGAAGAAGCATGCACCTCAGCCTTAGCCCCAAGGCGGTTTAAACCTTAGGGTTTTTGGTTTAAGGAACCTCCTCTGACTTGCAGGAGGCACGCCACTTCCTGCACTTGGCCCACGTGCAGAAGATGACTTTAGCACCACTTTGTCGCCTATGAACCGAGTGCGATCAGCCGCGGAGCCGCGGTTGTTGTGGTTTAGGGTTTAGGCTTCCTCAGGGTTTAGGTTTCATGTAGGGAATGCACTAGTCATCGTGCCAGCTGACGTAAAAAATCCTGGTTCAAGGAAGAGTTTGGGGTTTAGGGTTTAGGGTGTAGGGTAAGATTTCCAAAGCACGGGCTGCTCTTGCAAGGCAGGTTGTAAGAGCCATCAGAATCCGTCGCCAAAGTGGAGCTACCGGACTGGTTTAGAGGGAATTTCGAGAGTTTGCTCGCTGACTGGAGCATTGCAACGTCTACCTGTTGCTGGCGGAGCCTCAGCATCAGGTTCAGGGTTGAGGGCTGTTCAGGGCTCGGAATCTACACAGTCCCGGTCTTTCTGCGACTTCGTGTTCTGCTATGTCATACCTGAACTCCAAATCCATCTGAACCCTGAGACGCCAGGTGCCCACAGAGTCCCCATCTCCGCAGGCAGACACCTCTGTCCGAGCCTTCTACTCCAGGAGGGTCTCGGGGCGCTTTTGTGGGTTTTTTGTGGCTCACCCTGATCCGAAGGCTGGCTCTTTCGGGCCGCGACATCGGTTCATAGTAGGGTTTAGGGTTTACGGTTTAGGGTTTAGGGTTTAGGGTTTAGGTTTCAAGCCGCGCTGTATTTTTCCCGACACTCAAACTTGGGAGCCTCGTGCCAGCCTTGCGTGGCTGCGCAGGACCGGGAAGCGCGGGCTGGCAGAAGCCGGCAGTACCCGAGGTTTCGGAAGCGCCTCCTGGCTGAAGACAGGCATGGCCGACAGAGTTTAGGGTTCTTAGGAGCTGTTGGGTTGTGGTTGGCTCCTTTTTTTTTCTCTTAAGAAGGGCTTACATGAGTAGCCTCTGGAGTGGCGGAGTGGTCTGAGACTCTTCGCCATGTCTTTGTGCGCTTGTACCTTGACTTGGATTGTGGACCCTTTTGCCCCAACCCCAAGCCTAAACCCTAGCGGAAAAACCTCCCGCCCTAACCCTAAACCCTAAACCCAAACCTCTTCAGTTGCCCTGTGAAGCACGGCTAGACGGGTGGCCAAAAACCCAAACCTCGGGGGGGGGGGGGGGGAGATCCACAGGAGCCCTTGTACACCTTAACAAGAAGCGGCCCCCGAAAAACACAGCATATTTTTCCTTATATGGGCAATATAGCGATGATTATCATCTCTTTTTTTTTTTTTTGGGGGGGGGGGGGGGTCTGAAGCAAATCGTAGTCGAGAAGAAGCCCCTAATTCAATTGATATCTTTTCTTTTCTCTCATGGCTTGGCGGGCCGCAGGAGGTTACATGTAGGTTGATAGACGTACCATACTTAGGGTCGTGTAGCTACCAAACGTATATTCCTACCTCAAACTACCCATGAGTCTCATGAGTTCAAGCAATCTTCGATTTTCGAACAGCTTGGCAAGTAGCTAAGTAGGGTACCTTAAACAATCTCATACCTTAGACCAAACCCCACGACACGTCACGGCCCAGACCCAGAACGGTGCCTTCAACACGAGCGATGCTTGCCAGCATATAGCCACGAAGCCATGCGCTTTTCATGCAAAGTTCCGCAAGGGTTTAGGGTTTAGGGTTTAGGGTTTAGGGTTTAGGGTTTAGGGTTTAGGGTTTAGGGTTTAACCCCAAAGCGTTGTGCCGACGTCTAAGGGCTACTTGGAGCAGACCTCGGAGTGGTCCAACCGACAGACGCAGAGTCGACTTCAGCGAGGGGCAGAAGCAACGTCAATGCGGCGCAGCACCGTGACCATATGGGGCCGGAGGTTTCCGAAAATGAGCGTTTCTGGGGTTCCGAAAGAAAGAACTGAACGAGACTGAGACAGAGGTGGGCATACGTGACCGGGGTTCACCCGCTCACCGCCCCACGAGAAAATGAAAAAAAGGCAGAGAGGGAGAGAGAGAGAGAGAGAGAGTGTGTGTGTGAGAGAGTCCCCTTAAGCCCTGTAGAAGAAGAAGAAGAAGAAGAAGAAGAGAGTGTGAGAGAGTGAGAGAGACTTTCGTTCTGCCAAGGCAGGAGCACCTTCAATCCCTACAGCAGCGTTGCAGGCCAGCTCCTGCAAAGCGGAACGGAATGAAGTGGCCCTAAACCCTAAATCCTAAACCCTAAACCCTAAACCCTAAACCCTAAACCCTAGGGGCCTTCAGTTCAGAGCATGAGTCGGCAAAGAGAAGGAAGGGCTTTCGGGCACAAAGGCCTCCGATTGATATTCATTGCAGTGCGGCCCCTCTCCCTTGTTTTTAGAATAGGGCTTGGGGGGTTGTTATCGTATAATCAGAAAGGGACCATCAGGGAATACTATGAGTCATTATTCCTTGCGGAAGTTATACAAATTTCCTCACCCCAAACGGCCCGCTGCAGGTTCGAGGATGCAGGAGGGGGACTCCCATCAGGCAGGCTTCCGCATCCCTGAGCCTACCCATCTAGCGTTTAGGGTTTAGGATTTCAGTGCAGCAGTCCGAGCCGTATAAAAGGGTTTGGGGTTTAGGGAGCTTCAGAATGTGTGGGGGCACGAGTAGTTCTGGTACTTCCTTTTCCACCATCGAAAGCTGCTGGGACTCGACGGCATGTAAGGTGGTTAAGGTCTACCATAAGCGCACCACATCGAAACCCCAGACCCTGGGCCCCCATAAGACAGGGCTGGAACCCCCAAAATCAGGGGCTGACTTGATGTGAGCCCATGAGATTGCGGCGCACCCGCCGTGGTTTTGGCGCACCCAGAAAGGGACCACAGGCATGGTCTTAAGCCCTAAACAGGGGACGATGACGCACTTGCCTTCCGCTGGCGTCGAGCCGCCCCCGCGTCCGAGCACGCGCGAGGCCATCGCGGGCTTGCGAATCTTGCCTGCCATGAGCAGATTCTCCACGACGACTCCTAATCCTACTCCTACTCCTACTCCTACTCCTACTCCTACTACTCCTACTCCTACTACTACTACTACGACGACGACGATGCATCATTCGACTTTTGATGCCTGTCATGCAAGGTGCAGAGGGCCTGAGTGCAGCAGACAATCACGTCCGGAAGCTGGCCAGCATGCCAAGCGCGAACGAATCTGTAGAAGCGGCTTGGCCAGCAAAGATGCAATTCTCGCAATAGTAATGCTTTCTTCATCGTAAAATACTAGTAATAATGTAATTATATAATAGTGATAAGAATGGTAATAACAGAAGTGGTAGTAAGAGCAGAAATAATGGTAATAGTAATAGCAATAGTAGTAATGATCGTAAGAACAGTAATAATGGCAATAGTAGTAATATGAGTAGTAACAAGAATGACAGCACGGACCTTGATGGAAGTATAGTTGGGCAATCGTTTCCCAGCGTAGTAGGCAAAGTCATAAACCCTGAACCCTTTAACCCTAAACCCTAAACCCTAAACCCTAAACCTTGTCAGGAGCTGTATCGGAAGCGCACGCAAGATGAGGATGCAGTGCCGCCACTGCACCGACAAACCCATTCGATGCCCGACTTAAACAGCGACTCTCACACCACCAACTCTCACGCCACGGAGGCTTGGGAATTAGGTTTTAGGGTTTAGGGTTAAGGGTTTACGGTCCTCGCCTTTCATGGGGCATCGGGTTGAGGTTTTTTGTCAGGGAGGCGAGCATGAACTAATCCCCTCCCCCTTCCCACCCCTAATATGAAATGCCCCCCCCCCCCCCCCTTACTATATACTATATACCATCATATAGCTACAATGGGAGTATTAATCATTGAAAAAAAGGGGGTTGGGGGGTTAATATCAGGGGGAGGGGAATTAGCAACCCGCATCGCTTTGGCTTGTGATGGGACAATCCTCTCACCTTGTTGAACAGGCGTCCCGGCGATACAATGACGACGTGGATCGATGGCTCCGAAGACTATTGGTGGCCGGGGCCCTAGGGAGATTTAGTTTTTCTCTGCCTGGTAGGGAATGCGAACGAATGTTCTGAGATTTGGGCTTGATTCGCGTGCTGATCTCCAGGTTCTAGTAGGGTGTTTAGCCTTTAGCCATGGCTAGGTTTCCAAAGGTTGTCACCTTAGCCCCATGAATGGTGAGCATGCAGACTAGGACCAGGAGCCCTAAACCCTAAACCCTAAACCCTAAACCCTAAACCCTAAACCCTTGGCAGGACGTCAATATCTCGCACAAGTCTTTGCCGTCCTTGCCGGCTCAGCATCAGATCTGCACTCATTTGGACAAGGCCTGGCATGGGCCTGCCAAGGGTTTAGGGTTTAGGGTTTAGGGTTTAGGGTTTAGGGTTTAGGGTTTAGGGTTTAGGGTTTAGGGTTTAGGGTTTAGGGTTTAGGGTTACTGGGCCATCCTGACAGAGATGTTGCGCGAAGTGCAATTTTAACATCCCTTGGAGCTGCGAGGGATTCCCTCCCCTAAGCCCTAAGCCCTAGACACTAGACCCCAGACCCTAAACCCTAACCTTAAGCCTCTCCGGGGCCCTTCGAGGTGCACAACTGGTTCGACCGAAGCCGAAGTGCTGCCAAAGACTTGACGGAGAGTGCTGGGGCCAAGAAGCCCTCGGCAGCAAAGTCGCCAATGCAGGCGAGCTGTAGGGGTTAGGGTTTGGGGTTTAGGGTTCAGAGTTTGGGATCTCACGTAGGGGTCGGAGTGTGGGATGCTCCTCCAGAGACTAACAGTCCTTAATGGGGATTCTAGTACCCCTGTTATAAGGGTTTATGGGGGTCTCCGAAAATAGGGGTGCCTTATTCGGGTCCTGATTATAAGGGAATCCTACCATTGTGGGTCTATATGAGGGATCCCCTTATTCACGTAAAATCCCATATAGGGGTCGGAGAAGTTATCGTATTCCTTTATTGTCTCTATGTAATTGTACTATAACAATCCCCCCAAACCCTATCCTAATTACTCAGGCCCCGTATATTACATGATAAAAATCAGCACATTGTACATGCTGAGACGCCGCCCGAAGCCAGAGACGCGCAGTACATGTCGCTAAGAATCAGCCAGTTGCGAGCGCAGGAAAGCTACATAACATAAGTAGCCGGCAGCCAATCTTCGACATACGTTGGCTGCGTGTCCTTTTTACTTCTTTTGGTGAAGACAGGTTTCCCTCCTAAACCTTAAACCCTCTACCCTAAACCCTATACACTATACCCTATACCCTGTACCCTATACCCTTTACCCTAACCCTCCGCCTCTAGTAATCTTAAGGCGAAGGCCCTATGCCACGCCACATCTGAGCCTTGTAGTCCGTGAGGTTAGACTCAGTTTTTCCGGGGGGGTTGGCATATGTTCTCATTTGGGATGATCCCCCTTATACTGACAGTCCTTAGTAGAGATGAATCCCTACTAGGGGCTGTTAGGATAAGGGGGAACATCCCAAGTTATGATCTGTCTGCCCACAGAATTCCCTAAAAGGCCAAGCTTCAGTTCTGTAGATAGCCTGCGGTTTAGGGTTTAGGGTTCGGGGTTAACTTGAGGCACGTAAGAGAGTCCTCTGGCAAGAAGGGTGCCGGTCAGGTCCTGCATGCTTTTTCTGGAATCCCCCTCCCAGTCCAGATTGAGAAAAAAGGGCATGAGACCGCACATAAACTTTAAACCCTAAACCCCAAACCCCAAACCCCAAACCCTAAACCCTAAACCCTAGACCCTAAACCCGAAACCCTAAACACAAGCCAGGCTGGGATTTACTTGCCAGCTGGGAGCCCACCCTTGCCCGGGTCGGTGAAGTGGCAAAGACCCGAGTGCAAGAAGACTCCCGGCAGACAGCGTCGCGCTTGGAGATGTTGCTCTCACGCGCTCCCTCCGGGTTTAGGGTTTAGGGTTTAGGGTTTAGGGTTTAGGGCTTAGGGTTTAGGATTTAGGGTTCCTAGTTCCGAGAACTGCCCATGTAGGAGTCTTAGGATGGCATATCCAGATGCGTCAGGGTTATGAATACCCTAAACCCTAAACCCTAAACCCTAAACCCTAAACCCTAAACCCTAAACCCTAAACCCTAAGGGTGGGAGGCAGAGTGCTTAGCAGATGTTGTGTGTGACCCTTCTCCCCAGTAGACTTTGCGAACAAGGCGGCCGGGGGGAGGAGTGTCTGCCTTGCCTGTAAGATTCTTAAGATCATGCGCTGGAGGTCCCAGCAACAGTCGAGAGGTGTAGCAAGTCACATGTGGTCTTGGAAGACGGTTGTTCGAGGTCCCTATCTCTCTCTAACCCTAAACCCTAAACAACCCTAAACCCCAAACCCTAAATCCGAAACCCTTTTGAACCCAGTAGCTGTCTCTAAGGATCGTCAAGGCAGCCAAAGGTGATCGGAAGCTTCAGCTTCTTGGCTTTGAAGCAAACCCGAAACCCTAAACCCTAAACTCTAAACCCTGAACCCTAAACCCTAAACCCTAAAACCCTAAACTCTAAACCCTGATGATCCCAAAGGCCCTAAACCCTAAAACCCCAATCAATCCCTGTGGAGCTAGAAGAAGGCGCTGAAACGGCTGGCTGGTTTTCAGTAGGAATGAGGGAATGAGGTACCCCATATAATCCCTTAAATGGGTATACATATATATATATAGAGAGAGAGAAGGTACCCTACAAGCTCCCTTAAAGGGTATACGTAAGGTACCCTATATGATCCCTTAAAGTTCCCTCATTCCCTACTAAGAGCCTGGCAGATTGTCTTGCAAGTTTTCTTGCTTGCACTTTCGAATGGAAGTGGTCAGATGACATCATTCAGCGTGCTGCACGTGGTTTCCCAAAGTACGCCAGGAAATCTCAATACATAAATCTAGGCCATTGAAAGATTGTAAGCACAGTCACAAGTCCAGCCAACTGCCATGGCGAAAAAGACACTTCGAGTCACCCACCCAAACGGAGATCAGACGATGGTCGTAGTGGTGGATACGGCAACCATGAGAGAAATCTCGCAGCAGTGTCATGAAGATGGTGTTCAAGATCGTCAAGCATCTTTGATTCAAGGAGTGAATGTTCTCGAGCCTGATATGACTGTGCACGAAACTGGTTTGCAAGATGGAGATGGTATTTCACTGGTTTGGTCAGACCCATTTGTTGAAATGGCACGCTGGAAAAGAGAGGAGATGGCCAAAGAATTGTATGTGCGGATCCCACATGGAACAACAGTCATCAACGATAGCGCCTTTTGCCATTGCAAGGCTTTGGTGAAAGTTGTGATTCCCAATTCGGTGACCAGCATTGCAGCTATGGCCTTTTATGGCTGCAGCTCCCTGACACAAGTGGAAATTCCCAACTCTGTGGCAAGCATTGGCGACCAGGCCTTTTCTGACTGCAGCTCCCTGACGCGAGTTGAAATCCCTAGCTCCGTAACCAGCATTGGCAATTGGGCCTTTGCTGGCTGCATTTCCCTGAGACAAGTGGAAATACCCAGCTCTGTAACCAGCATTGGGGATGAGGCCTTTCGTGGCTGCAGCTCCCTGACGGAAGCGAACATCCCAAACTCTGAGACCAGTATTGGAGACCAGGCCTTTGCTGGCTGGATTCTTCTGAGAGAAGGCCAAACTCGGGCAGATCGTTAAAGAGGATCCACATGGCCTCCGCCAGGGCAGAGGGGGTTTAGGGTTTAGGGTTTAGTTTTTAGGGTTTAGGGTTTAGAGTTTAGGGTTTTTTGTTAGGGACTGCCCTCAGAAGCAGTGGTTGAGCCAGAGTCACTTGAGTGTGACACAGGTACATTCTTCCGCAGCGCGCCCTTTTTGGCAAGGGATACCGTTTGCATGCTGCCCGAAAAGAGTACCATGGCCAGCTGTTGCCGTGGTAGCCCAGTGGTACCCTTTACCCTTTGATTGGTTCTGGTTTCCCTTATTAAATAACCAAGCCCAAAAAGGGTGCCCTTATTAAAATATGGTTACTGGGCTACCAAGTTGCCAATTGAGGCTGAATTTAGAGACATCTTTCATGACAGCGACCCGGGAAGCGAGCCGCAGAAACTCGAGAACTGACCAGGGTTTAGGGTTTAGGGTTTAGGGTTTAGGGTTTAGGGTTTAGGGTTTAGGGTTTAGGGTTTAGGGTTTAGGGTTTAGGGTTTAGGGTTAGGGCATGGCATATGCTGAACTCTCCAAACCCGCAATCCAGTCGCTGCACTCAGGTCATCGGGGAGCAGGTCTCCCTCTGAATCCCATCAGGAGGCTTCAGAGGACAGCTTGGCAGACTGCGAGACAGGCGATGAAGCAGAGTGTCTTGGCAGGCTTTCGGATTTTTGGGCATTCGCCAAGTCAGGATTCCTGTTAAAGATTTTGCGAAGCGTATGAGGGACAAGCTTTGGCTGCACCCAGGGCAGGTTATGACACGTTCCTTGAAGAAAGGCTCTCTTATTGGCACCAAGTGCAGGTACAAAGTACCGAAACCCTAAACCCTAAAGCACCGAAGCAGTGCGTCATCAACGTGTTTCAAGGTTGCTGGATGCACTGAGCGATTCGTGAAGGAGGCCTGTACAGACCTGCAGATTTTCCTGCCTCTTTGCAGAAGAGGCGACAGTTCTGCAGATGGCAACCTAAAAATCGCCAAGCCAGCAAGTGCTTGACAGATCCGGGCTCCGATCTTCGCAAAGGTTGTGGATGGCAGTTTTGAAATTCCTAAACCCTCAACCCTAAACCCTAAACCCTAAACCCTAAACCACATCAGGTCAGTGAGGCAGGTGGCAAAAAAGACAAAAACACAGCAGGTTTCATGAGGTGTCGGAGCTCAGGACTGCAAGTGCATCCGAATTTCCACACTGCGAATTCAAAGGCCTGACCGGTTTCACCTACCTTATTATAGTCATCTCACGAGGGTGCCGAGGCTTGCCGAGGCTTGCCTTTCCATGGCCTTAAGGGTTTGGGTTCCTAAGAGTGTGGGCATGTCGCGCGCGGGGCGCCGGTTTCTGGAGGTGTTTCGGGCTTTTGGGGTACGAGCCCAAAACCATGGAAAAACCCTGGAATCCTGGAGTCTCATGAGGCCCTAGCAAGACTACAAGTAGGGTAGATTAGGGTTTAGGGGTACCCTACAAACCTGTCAATCAGGTTTGTTGCAACATGTCGGGCAATGATACAGACCCTATGTAGCGTAGTATGTCGTGCCTGTGGGGACCACGCAACC